CTCAGACTCCAGCTGCGCGGGCAGCTTCTAGACGACGACCATTCTCATCAGTAGAGACGGAAAACTTCCCCCCAGACTGGTCAGAACTGGAAATTTTCACAGAATAAAGTTCAAAATGTCCACGCAGCCCTCACCCTCGCCCTGACCTCTCCTGGGCCACGGAGGAGGAGCAGGTGGGGACGAGGGCGCAGGCCCGCCCGTCGGGGTCCCGCGCTGACTGCACATGGTACCTACACCCACTAACGCCGTTCGCTTTATTCAAACGGTTCCCAGTGGGTTCTGTGTCAAATTAAAGTAACCAATTTAAAGAATCTGTTTCAACAATCGAAACAGGAAAGTGTTTTTGTTGCATGCTAATTAAATCAACAACCTAATAAAGAACTAATTCACATAGGAAAAATGTCCAAAATCTTAAACATCTTTGGAATTTAACTCTTTTTCCCCCCCTTTCATAAGCACATGAAGCATTGTGCGATACTGCCTAACTTGAAAAATCAGCATCTTGGTGAAGAATTTCAAAAGTGATGTTATAAGCAGGCCCCATTATAAATTCTAGTGACACACTTCTGCACAACCACGGGAATGCGGACGGACAGGGGCCGCCAGCACGGCTGAAAACTCACCCACAGGACAGATCAAAATTCGGATTCCGCCTGCCCGATTCCAACACTCTCCCAACAAGGGGAGACCTCTGCTTACAGAAAACGTAAACAACATTCCTGCTCGCTGTCAGAACTACAGACATAACACCTGCGAGGGTCTCCGGGTCTGCAGCGTTCAGGTGACAGCTGTCAGCTAAAGCTAAAGGTCTCCTCACTCCACCGCTAACTGCCATGCATTTTCCGATCTACTTTCTCCAAAAACAGGGGTCAGGTGGGTGGAAATAAGGTGAGCGTGAAAGCCATTTTATTCACAGACATGCCGGCTTTACTACACAGCTACCTTAAAATCCAAACTAAAGAGACGCTGAAATCTCCAGTGCCAAATGAAACAAATACTTAGAAATTGAATTTACTCCGAAAAAGCCCAAGCAGTCAGTCTTCATTTATTCGAGGCTCATGCTAGCTTTCAAGGAAACAGATACTGGAATGGACTTGATAATCGCTTAAACCAGCCATGCAGACTAACCACTTACCAAAATAACCTTTCAAATTAGCTTAAGGAAGGTAACATCTAGGTGTATGTCCTGGGTGGCCTTGTTTTATGGGATAATGCCTTCATCCTCAGGGCCCATCACGTGTGTCACGTGTCACGGGAGGAAGTGCTATGGACGGGTTGGTGGGGGGTTCCCAGCCAGATCCCAGGGGTTGGGGATGGCCTGGTCCACTGCGCCCCAAAGCACAGGGGCCGGGGGGGAGGCAGCGACGGAGCTGGCACTCATTTTATACAGGCTTAAGGCTGAGCAGAAAGGGAAAGAGTGCTTGTCTACGGGCATGGGAAGGGACACACAGAACACTGACTGAGAGTGATCTCACCTGACTCGGGGGTCTCCGGTGCCCTTCCCCTTTCCACCAAGAGGGCATTTCCCAGCAGCATGAAAAGCAGCAGCACTACCTGGTACAAGTAAACGTGTCACCGACCACAGCTGCGACCAGTCAGGTGAACTCCGGGTAGAGAAGTTCAAAAACCACGGCTTTAGCCTGCCGCCGTCCCAACTCGCGCCTGCTGGGACAGCCACCACCGCCTTCCTGCCCCTCTTCTGACCTCGAGCCTCGGCTGGCGACTATGCTAGGAATCCATCTGGTAGCTGGATTTCATATTTCTGATCTGAGCTAATCTAATTAATTTATTTTGGTCTTTTCTTTTAATTTGATCAAGACCATTTGAACACCCACTTTCCCAAGTCACAGCTGCAACCTTTAATTCTGTTTCTATCAAAGATATTCATTTAAAGTTCCTTTTTTGGAGGCTGCCCCCTTGTCTACATTCAGTATCTATATTTTCTATGTCTAGATCAGCGTTATTCAATGAGCCACCAAAACAGTCATAAATGTCATTGTAAATTTTCTAATAGCCACATTTAAAAAGTAGTCCCCCAAAATAGTGAAATTAATTTTAGTAATAATTTTTATTTAACGTAATATATGCAAAATATTATCACTTCCACATGTAATCAATATGAATGAGACAGGTTACATTTTTTGGTACATAGTCTTTGAAACCCAGTGTGTGTCACATTTACAGTATATCTCAGTTTCTACTGGCCACATTTCAAGTCAAAGTGGTGCGCATGAGGCCAGTGACTATCATACTGAACAGCACAGGATTAAAAATGAGAAACAGAAATACAAGTATCAGTGTTATCAAATAATTTCCATCATTATCACTTGGGTAATAAACATTAAAGTTGTATTTACATTCGATTTGGCTTTAAATGAAAAACAAGTTAAACCTCAGATCACATTTATTTATCCAAAATATATTTATTAAGTACCTACTTCAATCCAGGCACTGACCACAGGGGCCAGAGACACATCAGTGAATAAAAATAAAAAGTTCCCTTTTGTCCTCACAGGGGGTTACATTCATCTGTAAGTGATGAAACTTTCAAATAAAAATTAAGATTCATAGGTTATGTTGTAAAAATTTAAGATACCATTTTACAAAACATTTCTTGGTAATTTATGAAGGCAAGTTTTTTAACCATGTGTGACATTATACCCCGAACAGTCCAGACGCTGATAATGAGGACATAATAATTTAAGTTTCTGCTCGGTGCCCCACTGGCAAGTATTTCCTGAGTTCAGAAGGCACTTATGTTTGGAGGTGAGGAGGGCACAACGCGACAGCTCGACCCACAGAATCGCTGACACGGTGGAGACTCACTGTGAAACCAGCTATGAACATTCCGAGCTGGCGAGCAGCTTGGAAACCTTCTAATCCAAACCCCTCTTCATTTTACAGATGAAAAAACCCTCTGAGTAGACTGAGAGGAGCAAACATCTTCTACAAAACATTTTAACGACAAAAATTCCCGAAGACAAAGGAGAAACGTCTAAATGAAATGGCAACTCACCAGTGAGGGCAAAATTTTGAAAGCCAAGACTAGACGTGTTTTATCCAGAGATAAGTCACTCAAACAATTGGTGAAACCACCATTAACAGAAGAGAGCTTCCTTTTGAGAAAACGTTTATTTCTGCTGT